GATTGATAGTAAAATGTTAGTTTTGGATAGTCACTTGAATTACATATCTTACAAAGAAGCAGATAGTCGAGTAGCATCACCTCTTTGCATCTCTTCCTAATTACATCACATACTGATTATTCCTGAAGTTTAAAGAAACACTAAATGAGGTTAGAAAACAATATATTATCTTTTAATTAAAAGTTGGCAATTGGCGTGTTTTCTATGAAGTATGAGCACACCAAGACATCCAAGATAACAAGTAGGTTAGAGAGAACACATGATCTATATTTCAGTTCCATCTGAGCATACACCATAAATCCTTCTTCTTCTTAAAAAAGAAACAAACAGACAAAAAACAGGCATCATAACAAGAATACTTTGGCCGAATAAAAGGTTTTCAGCATACTGAAGTCCACCCTTTATATTCTCTGAAACAGCAACCAAAAGGAGACAGTTAAGTCCTGATATGGAATATAAAACCAAAGTTTTTCGTATGCCAGGGAAGGGGAAAAAACAAATGATAAATCATGGGATCTCATTCCCAAGATAAACATGCACATTTGCAAGGTTAAACCCTGATGGTTCGCACACACAAATGCAATAGTCGGATGCTTGTTTCTCCCCTCCCCACTGCCCCAACAAAACCTTATCTCCTGCAGTATTAGGCATTCACTTGGCAGCATTTTTAGCAGCAGCACAACACGAAGCATAAATCATACTGAAATAGATGCCTTCCTGTCAACAAGAAATGAAAGGCTCAGTATGGGTTTCAACTCTGTATATATATATATTAAAAAAAAAAAGAGTTAAAATACTGCAAGTCCATGGTAGCCAGAAACAACTCACAGAACTGAACTTTCAGATTAACTGAGAAATTAGTCAGCTTTGTTTAATTTGTTTTCTGTTGCGGGAAAAGGAAGAGTTATTATTAGACTTTTTTTTTCCCAATATTGGAATTAAAAGAACTGTACTTCTTCAAAGTATATTTACACAATGTTTTACAACTTACTCTAGTATTGCTTTGATAGGGTCTACATTTTCCCTTCTTAATATCTAGCCTTTCCACAGTACTTAACAACAGAAACTCAAGCTTGCTACTTTTTCTATATAATTTTCTTTACTGAAGCTTTTATCTTCTGTATTTGCAATTCAGTGTTTTAGCCTTCTGAGAGTGACATCATGCGATTCTACACGGGTTCCCAGAAGAGCCTTTTGAGTATTTCAAGGACTCTCAGAAGGTGCATTTTTTAGTCTCCAGATAGACATTGTAATACGAGCAAGCTTTTTTCTCATGGAAATTATAGGAAAAGAGCTAAACAATCACTGTACTAAAAATCACTGCACCAAAATATAACTTGCTTTTAAGACTACGATGACTTATCCAGGCTCTGAAATTACAGATGAGCCACTTTTTTGGTCATAATTGCTTGGAAAAGCAGCAATTATAAACGCTGTTGTTATTAGTACAAGTCTTTGACAAAAATCAAATTCATATTTAATATTAAACTGTTAAGTAATTTATTTTCAGTGATCTTTGCTGATTTGCAGTTTCCAGTCATTTTTGCTTTAGTAGTGGATTTGGTTGGCTTTAGCTTCATCAGATGCCTTGCAAGAATATTTTCAAGACTTTTTTTTTTAAATGGAAAGAGGTACAACAGATAAACTGCTCTGTAAAATGGTTTTCTGTAAGAAAAAGACAAAATGAGGATATAAAAATGGAAATGAGCAAGAACCAGTTTTAAGCATATGTCTTTATGAATGAGGCTTAATCACACACTTCATTCTCCAAACACAAAAAGTCTCTTGGAAATGTATTAATTAAAATTAAGTGCCGTAGACAAGCAGCTTTAGAGGGACGGCAGTCCTTTTTCAAATTAGCATAACAGTAGCGACAGCCATGGAAATTGGTTTAATAACCTTAAATAGTTACACCCCAGTCCTAACACAAATGGCCATGGACAGCTCGAGCCCCTCGGGCTGTGACTGTACCAGTTTATGTGGTTGTTCTGACATTGGGTGGGTACTCCGAGCTAAACACAAATCACTGAGCACACCTCAATTATGATTATATAATGATTAGCGAAGCATACAAGGCACCAAAGCATTAAACGTAATAAAACGGAAAACCCAAGCAAACCAACACAACAACAACAACTTAGCCAGTATGGGACTCACTTGGTAACTTGCAGCAATGCAGTCAGTACTTGGCAAGAGATTAGTTTAGCGATGATATTTAAGTGGCCCAAATCCCACACAAGTCTAGAGTCGAGCTGTAGATACAACAGAAAACCAAGCGAAAGGGAAAAGCAGTCCTGAAGCAATTTCCTTCCCTGCCATGTTTTAAACGAGCGTCCTGGGAGCTAAGCTAAACGTACAATAACCCCTTTTAAATGCAACTTCAGCTTTGAGGGCAAAGCCTTCTCCAGCAAGTGTCCAAACACACAAGGTCAATTTTAACTGTAAATGCTGGGCTTAAGCAACATTTTCTGTGTGCTCAAGATCCATGAGACAAACTGGAGAAAAAGCAAAAAATCCTGCTGACAAGAAGTTAAATGTCCAAACACTTTTAAGCTTTTTCATTTACCTAACTTTACCATGCGGATCCTCTGCAAAGAACTGCTTTGTTGCCTTTTTACCTTACTTCAGCAGTAGTTTTGCTGGAACCATGTCTTTTATTTATTATAAATACATATAAATAAGTTAAGTGACCTTTTGTTTTGTCCACCATGATGAGAGATGACTTTGGAAAATCATCTGCAAACTCAACCAAGCTGAGAAACAGGCAAGAAAGCAGGCAGTAGAAATACAATCACAGATTTCTCTCAGTTCATGAATGGGTTCTTACTTTTAAAAGAAAGACCGGGAAAATGCATCTGGCTCTGAAGCATCTGTGGTTTTATCAGTAGCACCACGCTTCCCCCCTCCCAAGAGCCGACCGACTGACATTTCCATCTGGGATTTGCAGGTACAGCCGAGTCCCAGCCGGGTGCCCAGGACCGCCCCGCTCCGGATGCGGTTCTGAAACGCTGCATAGTTCTGGGGCTGGTCCCCCCCCTCCCTTTTCCCTTTTTAAACTACTTTTTAACCCAGGTGGCTCATTCTAAAGAAAACTCACTGAGGTTTCTTTCCCCAGATCTCTCTTTCCCCTTCCGCAGTTTTGTCGAAAGACTCAGCAGGCGAGAGCAAGCGGCCGGGAAGCGTTGCGCTCGCCGTCCGCTGACCGGCTGGGAAGGAAACAACGCTGCAGAGAGTTGCACGGCACGGGGGGAAAACGGTAACTAAACGAAGTTAAGA